ATGGCTCACACTTTGTATGCAAGATGGCATCTTCCTGCTGCCAGCTTATGTGATAAAAGGCAGAGGTGAAAGAAATAAGAGTATTCCCTGAAACTCCTCATAGGAGCACCAGTCCATTAGTGAGGGTAGGGTCTCATGCATAACAACTGCCTTAAAGAAAGAAAGACAGTAAGGTTCATAGTAGCTTTCTCCTATTTACAGGGCCTGCCAGAAGCATGTTTTAGCGGATAGGAGCAACATGGTGTTGTCATGGTAAATCAAAACAGGAAACAAGCACAATGTATTTAGCTATGATTTGGAGAAGAGTCAAGAGGCCTGGCTGTTAGATTCAGCCCCAAGATCACACTGCAGAAGGTGGCTGTGATGGTAAAATATGTGAGCTAATGGGATAAAGCCTCGTCGTTAAGGCCATGTTCACAAAGGATATGGCAGGACTCTTGTTCTTTTCTCTTCCTGGCCATGATGTCCCCTACCCCAGGCTCAGAACAAAGGAAGCATTGCTTCATGGACTAGTAGCTCTGAAACTCTGTAACAAAATCTTTTCTCTCTCAAGCAATTCACAGGAACAGCATGTCTCCTAACACAGATTGCATGGCCAGAGGAAATAACATGTTTATGATGGAGACAACATCCACTGAAATATGGGCTACTTAGAAATAATCTTTAAATGTTATAATTTCAGCATAACATTATAAGGTTGATATATAACACTTATTTATTTGTTTAATATGTGAAGTGTTCCAAGATGGGTTTTTAAATTATTTAAATAGTTGTACGTAAGTAAAATTCATAATTCCAATATAAACTAAAATACATTAAAAATAATTAAGTCAAGCATTCTTAATGAAAATCACATTAAAAAGAAAATTATCAAAATGTATAAGAAATGAAAATTTTGAAATTTAAATGATAAAGATGTCAAGTACAAAGAATACGGAAAGTAGTTGTTATTGTTTAGCAAAAAATACTTTTGTCGTTTACCTGATGTTGTCATTATGCACTTTGAATTATAAATATGGACATTAAAGTACATCTTAATTTTCATGTTACTCCATAATATATTCAAGTAAGAGTTTTCAGGAATTTTATGGCTGTATTTGCAAAATATTCACATAAACTTTGGAGTCATATATCCCTTGAGATTTTAGCTTAGATTTGATTTAAGGTATGCAAGCACTAGAAAAGAATTATCTGTTAGATTATTTCTGTAAATGGATGAGCTTTTGTGTGTGTTTTTACAATAAATCCAATGTTTTTCATTATCCTCAAAGCAAAAGGGATTGACTTAACTGAAAAGTAACATTAAAAAGTCCAGCAGGTTAATAACTTGTCTGCCTCTGAGATATTTATTAGACGGTTAGGTTGCTAGAAGAAAGCTGTCAAGCTTCCACAGAGCGTCCTGTGCAGAGGTAAGACTCCTGGGAGTCCTGTCATACGTGGCTCCAAGTGTAAAGTTGCTAACACACATTATCTTTCTTATTTTCAATTTTTCTTCCTGAATCTTAATACGTCACTTTCAATGTAAAAATAATTAAAACATGATAGAAAAGAAGCATAAAGAATAGCATGGTAGAATTTGTGTTATAACTGTAGAAACACATTACAGAAAAAATTCCAATAGAGTGAACCATAAATGTGTTCTCTGCGGGTGGATGCTCATAACTTTGAGTACAGTTTGTAGCCACACCAATTATCTAGTTTTCTGAGTACACATGCCATCATACTTCTTATTGATGCTATTTTATTTTTGAATTGCCTTAATCCAATCAGACAAACTTGGTTACTATGATTATACTATTAACGACTATTTACCACTCACTCTTGCACCATTGAATATTTCCTGTTAGGATTGGTATTTTGGTTTATTGGCTTCATAGATGAGAATGACTATTGCCTGTTTTTCTCTCTTGGAAACTTGCATTGCATAATTCCTTCCATTGGTATCAGAGGTTCTCCTTTGGGAGGAGGCTTCCAGGTCAGCTCCAGCTTAGTTTTCCAAGTCTTGTCTTGAAAGTATGTGATGCCCTAAGTAAATTTTATATTATGATGTGCAAGTTTTAGAAATTACTGCTGTTACACATGGCATGAATTTTACATATTCTCAAGAATAATATTTACATTTTATATCTTATTAAAATTAATAATAGAGATAAGGAAGACCATAAGCTTATAACAACTTCAGACAATAGACTAATGCTTACAAATATTATTAATCTTTTATGGGTATTAATTTAAAAGATATGAGCTAATCATTATCTTAAAATGAAATATTAACACATTATGTGTTATTTATGACTATTGGATATCTCATACAAAAGAACTGGTTCGAGTAGCCTATATTAGAATTAATCATGTACTATATAATTCAATCTTGAAGCTGTAGCAGCAACAGTAATAAAAGCCTAACAGATTAAAACCATGTTTGAAAGCTGGTAGTCCCAGAGCTATCTCACAGAGAAACACCAATAACAGATAACACTGATTAAACATTTAACCAGGTTGGAGAATGAATGCTTTTCTGCCTTCATCATTACTCTGGACATTTATGCAGCATAAAATGTCCTGTGTGTAAAATGCTCCTGTGATTTAGGAAGAAGCGGCAGGTGAGTCATGGCAATGGGCAATTAATGCCAGCATGCTTATATTCTTTGGGTTCAGTTGTCCTCTGTTTGTAACAGAGACAAGATGGTTTTAAAATTTTTACTAAAAATATGTTTGAATAATATGCAGTATCAATGATAAGAGAACCAAATATACACCCACCAATGCCCTAATTGGTTATCCAATGAGAAGTAATTGACCCTGAAAGCATACACACAGAAAAACTAAATGGACTCAGCAGGGTGTATTTGTTTGTGTGTGTTTGTATGTGTAAAACAATAACAAAGGTAAGAACATCATGAATTTGAGAGAAAATAGAGGGATAGAAGGGGTGCACAGAGGAAAGGAAGAATGATAATATTTTTAAAAATATGGTCTAATAGATCAACAGTTATGAGCACTTTTTGCTATTGCAAAGAACACGGGTTTGATCCCCAGCACCTACGCTGCAGTCAATAATTGTCCATTACTCAAGTTCTAGGGTATCTAACAGACTTTTTTCTTCATGGGTATCGTGTACACTGAGTACATAGTGATACATATAGGGAAAATGTTGAAACACACAAAATAAATATATAAAATTCTAAATTTCTCAAAAAGTAACTGATGCAAAGAGAAATCACTAATAAATAAAAATGTTCTTCTGGGAATATGGAAAGTTACCAAAGTGGATTTGGTGATGTTTACACCATTTTGTAACTGTACTTAGTCTGTATCATAGGAGTGAAGGATATAGTGTGTATATTATATTTTAATAAGGCTGTTAATTTTCATAACAGCAGCCACAAGTAAATGATCAAATTTTTCAAATATTTCCTAGAGACTAACAAATGACTGAGTATAGACTGCTGGCTATATTGACTCATATTAAGTAAACACAACATTTCCAATTTGAAAAAGACTATTTTCATTCAAATAAGTTTCATTTATTCCTATATATATTTATCAAATTATTTTAATACTCAGGTTGATTAATTAATCAGTAGATTAGTTATTTCACTAGATTAACACCCACAAGCTTATTTTTATTTGATATTAGTTTTACTAAACATATCAGAAGGGTACATCTGGAAATTTTAATTACTGAGTATTCTTTAGGCATCCCACAGAGACCACAAATTATGTGACATAATTTTATTCTTCTAGCATGATTTATTGGATTTCACTGTGAACACGAAACTGCCATTGCAATCTTTAGATAGTGGGATCTTTCTGAATGACAGTCACAGGTGCTGGGTCCTGAACCATCGTAATTCTCTATGAATGTGCTAGTGTCTTGCTCACATGACCAGTTCAGTAGACCATTCGATCCACTTCATCCCTAAATAATCTATACTCTACTTTTCTCAACTATGTCTTACCGTCTTATTTTCTATAGAAAATCTTATGCACACAATAATTTGAGAGAAAATTAAGAACAGATTACTCATTAGTCTCTAAAACTACTGAGAGGGAATGCTTCAATTAATACCCTCCTAGGCCATCCTTTAATAAAGGAGACAGTAGCAAGACACATTCCTGCAAACTGAAGACCACTGAAGATGCTGTAGCATGAACTAGGAGACTGGAACTAGAAGAGCTGGAAGATCACTTCCAACTGATAATAAAGAATGGAATACTTTAGTTTTTTACACAATCCACCAGACTGACTATTTTTAAAACTATGATTGTTCAGGAAAGTCCATTTCTTCCCAAAGGACATGAATGATTTGTGAAACACGAAACCCATCAGAATATTCAGTATTCACATTAAGTCATGTGTTTAAGGCAGACCCTCATTTGTTAGAGTTTCCAAACACCCAAGCTGCACCATTCCATACGGAATTCTGAGACATTAACTATAAAAACCTGTTCCTTATATTCATCATCTAGATTTAATTCAGAAAACTCGTGACAGAACTGACAGAACTCTTCAAAATAATATCTAGAGAAAAAAAATTTCCCAAAAGTATGAAGCTATATTTTCAAAAGGAGAATAAATCTGTATCTACTATTAATCAACTGTTATGCATCTTTCTATCATCTATCTTTAAACTGGCTGTTGCCTATCATCTATCTTTCCTTTATTCATGTATTTTCCACAATCTACCTATATGTCTGTCTCTGTCTCTATAAAATCCATCCATCAATCATCTCTTTCTATATTTATATGTATATCAGGACAGAGTGATATATATTTACTTTGGTATAATAATTATCCATTAATCATGCTTTATTAAAATTCAAACTTTGTTTATGAAAAACACATTAAAATGTAAATTATGTTCCATGAATGAAAATGAGGATCTTAAATCCAAAATACAATTATTTTGAGTCCAGCAAAGACTTCAAAGGCTTTTCGCTCATTCTCAGTTGACAATATTGTCGTTCTAATTCTCCCGCCACCCGGAACATATTACCTTTGTTGCTGCATCATAGCAGATGAAGCCCGAGCTGAAGTCAATCGTGAGGCCCATTAGGTGACTCTCCAGCACACAAGCATAGGTCTTGCACTGGGAAAGCAGAGAATACTGTTAGCTTCCAGGTGATTGGTACAGCATCACTATCAAGGGGGAATATAACATATTCTCTATGCATGTAATACTTAGCATGTGCATAAGTAAGGTTCAGTAAAATAATAAATTCCTGACATGAATATGACTCTAGGTTTGATCCCCTGCATCATAATTTTACTTGTAAAATTTTGGAAAGATAAGTAAATATAGATACTAAAATATTAAAAGGACATAACTCATATATGAAACAATTTGGGCCTCATATACAACATGAAACATTTTTATAGCTAGTTTTCTAGTTTTTTTTGAATTTCATTTCAAGCTAAATGGTTGTATTAGATGAACTATAATCATAAATAACATGTGAGGGAACTGTTTCCTTCAGCAATTTTCAGATGCTAATTCTTATATTGTATTTGTTTGTATTATATTTATATAATGTATTGCCTATCACAAGTGCCTATAATTATGACTTACCATAACAAGTTATTTTTATCAGAATGTTATATACATATGATTAAAGCCTAATTTGCATTAGAAACCTAAAACCATGATAACTATTTATTTAGAGTTAAAATAGTAGATTAGAAGCCATACTTAATGGGTCGAAAAAGTACATGCTTTGGTGTGATTGTATTTGTTTAATACATGGGCTTCTTAAATAGCTGGATTCACTCATTAGTAATATATTAAAACTAAGATCAACATTAAAGAGGGTTCAAGGCTACAGTGTTTACTTTTATGTAGTCTTAATTATTTGCCATTTCTTTGTACATCCAATTAAAAGGAAGATTCCAGGTGAAATTGTATTTGTTATAGTGCAATTGAATTTTCTCATTAAGTTCAACATTCCTAACTAAATTATGTTGCCTCAATAATCATTAAATGGAAACAAATAAATAGATAAATATATAAGTTGAGATCCAATAAAGCCTTCCTGTATAACTTAAAATGTCAACAAATCTGAGTGTATTTAATGCATTTATATAATAAAATGCTTATTTATTGTTTAATTGTTACATTTATGTAATGAAAAGTTATTTTACTGTGAAAAAATTATTCTTTTGTGGAAGCTCCAACATGAATCACTTTGCAAGATGTTTGCATAATTATATATTGTATAGCATCTACAGGTAAAATATACATAAAACAAATATCTTAAAGAACCGCTGGACATAAATTTTTACTACCAAATAAAGACACATTCCGAAAAAAATCAAAAATAATTTTAAATAAACGTAATTATTTTTTGACATTAGTGTACTTTCCAAAACATATTTAAAGAAGTAACTGTTGAACTGGGTTAGTATAGAGTTATGACAAATGTTAGTTATAGTTATGACAAATGTTAGTATATAGTTAAGACAAATGTTAGTATATAGTTATGACAAATGTTAGTATATAGTTATGACAAATGTAGTATATAGTTATGACAAATGTTAGTATATAGTTATGACAAATGTTAGTTATAGTTATAAATAAATGTGTCTTTGACCCTAGTAAATGTGTCAATGACCCTAGTAAAATTATAAAGGCAATAATCTTAGCCTAAATGAATTACATCTCACATTACTTTTAGGAAATTGTAATTTTTATTTATTTATATACTTATTTTTGGTTTTTCAAGACAGGGTTTCTTTCTTTCTTTTCTTTTCTTTTCTTTTTTTTTTTTTTTTTTTTTGGTTTTTCGAGACAGGGTTTCTCTGTGGTTTTGGAGCCTGTCCTGGAACTAGCTCTTGTAGACCAGGCTGGTCTCGAACTCACAGAGATCAGCCTGCCTCTGCCTCCCAAGTGCTGAGATTAAAGGCGTGCGCCACCACCGCCCGTCACATTATTTTTTAAGTTAGGAAATGTAACCTATTTTCCTATGTTGTGGTTTTTATGTTTCAATATTCACTACATTTCTTAAGTTTAATTATAAATTTAAATGATAATGCAGATTGTATTCAAAGTGTGTACTTTCATGGATCATCCTTTCAAATAAATATGTTAGCATCTATACTATGTTTATTACAGGTTCAAAATAAAATATGAATAAGTAAATAAATATATTTGAAGGTAGACATCATCACTTTGTAGTCTTTGCAATATTAATTTATTTCAAAATAAAAACACTTATATATCATCTCTTTCAATAGCATTAATGAAGTTATTAGTTTTCCTTTTGTGCATTTTTCATTAGGTCTACTTTCCCTATTATTGTATTTTACTATATTGAGACAGGGTCCCATGTGGCACAGACTGGACTCAAATTCTTTATACAGCTGAGGATGACACTCAACTTTATTGACCTGCCTTTAGCTCCCAATTGCTGGGATTATAGGTAAGTATTGCCAGTCCGTATCTTCCATTTTCCCATATTTAACAAAACTGAGACAGTCATTCTATACATATTGAACAACATTCTTCCTGTTAGTTTATTCACATTTGAAAATGAAATTTTATGAAAATGAAAAATCCAAGCCAATCAAATAAATGTACCCATTTCTAATGTAATAAACAAAGAGAAATTATGAACTATGAACAACCCAAAAGTTGAATAAATTCCAAATATTTTCCTTTGATTTCTGTCACTGTATGTGTTTAAAAAAATAACTGTCCATGTATGTTTGTCCTTGATCTCAGAGTCTACTGCAAGGGGCAGGAACCAATTTAACTTTGAATTTTGCTCTACCTTATTCCAAGCCAACCACAAAACCAATTCTATGAGGTGTCTTGTTTCAGGATCTCATGTATTTGAAACATTTGTTGTCAGAGGTTGCTTATTTTATTCCTCTATGGATTCAAGTTTACTACATTTTGCAAATCACAAGTATCCAGTGGGTACTTACTGAATTGTAGTTCTTCAGTATGAAGTCATATCTAAGTCAGATTTGATAAGTCCTTTAACTTACTCAAATACATGTAAAAGGGGTATGGTAAGAAACCTTAGAAATTATGAGGTTGCCCATGCATGCAGTAACCTTTGAAGAAAGCTTCACATACTATGCTTTGCTTTAAAGGCAGAGATGAAGGGAGGCATCTAGAAACTAGGTGGTCAAGTCTATAGAACTGAAGCAACCTCATAAATAGTGACCTACATTCAGAGCATTTTTATATAAGATTCAAATTATAGTAATATTTATTAGGAAGTAGACTGCAAAGGCAAAATCATGTAAAAAGAACTTAAATAATATGACTAATTATTCATTTTTCAATAACAGCTAAACATTTGAGATGGGGGCAACCTCACAGAACTGTGCTCATGTATTTGTGAACTCAAGTGAGTGGTTAGATATCCCCAGGTACCACACACACAGGTTCTTACCTGTATCCGTTCTACTTCTAAGAAGGTGGCTGTTTGGAAGGCTCGTTCCCATTGGGCAAGGTCACTCTCTAACTCCACCGAGAAGTAGAAGTCCTCCCCACACTCAGACTGCATAGTAAAGCAATGTTTCCGCCGATCCAGCAGGTCACTGTCCTGATGAAAACCTGGAGTTACACAGGCTGGCATACATCAATTCATACTCAGCACAGAAAATACCTACCAATGCTGCTTAAAACAGTGTGTAGATTCTATAAAACATGTGAAATTCTGTACTGTCATTAATCTTATCAGAATACTCACTACACTTTTTTCTCCCCATCTCCCCTTTTCCCCACCCCACCCCCACCTCCAAGTTTCCAATTTTTGCCTGGCAATCTTGTCTCCTTCCAATATTCAGGAGGATAACTATAAGTTTTTCTTTGGGTTCACCTTCTTATTTAGCTTCTCTACATAAGCTTTATTTTTTAATTATTCTATGGGGGTTTGCCTGAAGCATCCAGAAGATGAAATGGATTGGATCACCTGAAATTGGCATTACAGTTAGTTGTGAACCACCATCTACTCCTGGGAATCAAACCTAAGTCTTTGGTAACTGCAATCAGTTCACTTAACTGCTGAGTTATGTTTCCATCCTTGTGAACTTTTCCTTTTACATGTTTTAGATGTTTTTAAAAAGGAGTGGGCACCAATTTATTTAAAAGACTCCTTTTCTATCTTAAATATAATTATTAAGTCATCTTTCAGATTCTTCTGTACAAAGCTCAATGAAGCATAGTATGGTAACTTTCCTCACATTTTCCTTTTTAAACATTTAATTATCTTAATATCTCACTTTCTTAAACACTCAACATGTTCTGAATCTTTCAAAGTCTTAAAAACATGACTGAGCAAAAAGTAGTGAATGCAGGTAACATTGAATATGTGGTGAATGTTGAATTCTCTAATTTTCACTGCTCTTCCTAAGTATTAGTATGAGCCATTATTACCATGTTTTGTGGGGAAGCATGCTGACCACTGTTGGAACTGCAATGCTAAGATATTCTTACAAAATGGGTTTACTTACCATGATGCATTGTGGTAGAAAGAATGCTCTGGGGTCAAAATATTCACAGAGTGCTTGTTGGTACATCTTATAATATCTTTGGCTTATTTCACAGTCCCTTTCTAAAGAAAGACTCTGAACTTCAGAGGGTGACTTACACCATTGTCTCCTTAGCTGCCCACTGTCTCACAGTTGTTGTTATGCATTTTAAACAAATTCATATACTTGTGTAAACACTTTATGCTGGCAGTCAAGATTATATATACTCATTACCTCAGTAATTGGTTTAATACTGGCCTACAGAAATATTTATTATAGACATATAGTTGACAATTATAAAGAAGTCATTGAATGCCTGCACTGTATCACACACTGTCTTGGTGTAGCCACTTCCCACCTAGAAAACATGTGGCATTTCTATTTCTTGAAACTTTGGTTTGAGTAAAACAAAGCAAAGCATAAAAAATCAACAGAATTTGAAAATGGTAGAGAGTGAGAGAATTTCTTCGAAGTTTTAAAGAGTGTTCACTTCAAAGTTCGCTGCCACTTCTACAGAATGAAGATGGACTCTGAGGAGATTCATGAAGAAATACTAAAAGTTTTGTGATTTCAGGAGGTTAAGAGACAAGTTCTAGAGTCAACAAGGCTGAAGGTTTTATGGACTTAGAGAGGCTATACAACATCCAATAACTTGCTATTTTTTTTCAAGCATTTCTGCTGTGTAATAACAAATTACACATTAAGTACAAGCAGTTAAAAAGATGCATAATTTAATGCTGTATAATTGCTGAAAACATGAGCATAAGTGAAGGGAATTTGCTGTAACTTACGTAATGTCAGAAAATAGATAGTGATCAAAAGGAGTGAATTGTAGAGCCATCACTTTTACCTGAACTAAAACTTGCTCTTTTCTCAATTTGCATGTAAGTTCTATATTCATTTTTATGTTAATATTGAGTGTAAGTATATAACCTTTTGAATTGGTTTAATAAATAAAATTCTGTCTTCAACATGACATTTTCTAGTGTTCCCTTTCTTTTCAAGCTGAATATTTTGTATTTTCCCTTGATCTGCTTGCATCTTTTCATTGTATATCTGCATGAAATCTATGAACACATGACTCAGTCAATATTAGTCTTTCTTGAACTCTACTCTGTCAACACTATTAATACAAAACTCTTGAATTTAGCTTCAGGCAGAATGTTTTGGTCAAGGGCAGCAAGTAGCCCATTGTTTGCCAAAATAGCACAACAGTCTCTTAGTTATAAAGGAGTTTTTAAAGCCATTTACTAATAATCTTGACCTCTGAAACCTCTTGAGGTTGGCCCCTACAATATTGCATACTCAGCACAACCATCTTGTAGGCTCCTATTAGAATAGCCTAATCCCCATTTAAATCGTTCAATTCAAAAACTGTTCTACTCCAAAGTCTCAAAGTCTTTCAAATCTCTAAAGAACAGAATGGTCAGGTTTGTTCCTGTAATGACACACTCCTGATACCAAATTCTGCCTTAGTCATATATTGCTTTGAGGGTACTTATATTCATTTGCATATACTACCCATAACAATAATATTAATTGTTGTTAACCTTGAAAATACTTGTCTTTTTTGATAACTAAGAATGAACCTGTGATATGAAGAAAATGAAAGTTTGCTTCAAGATGATGTCATCTATCTCTATATATTATATTACATATTAGTATATGGAATATTTCCATAGCATCATGTTATAGATATGTAGACATCAAACCTGCAAAATAAAAATTTTAAAGAGAAACTTGCACTGATACTTCTTCCAAATAGACCACTTTAATTCTTACTGCAGTCTGTGTAAGTCATTTAAGATTTTTTTCAGAATTTCTAATGACTTGTTGCCATGGGAATTCTATGAGTCACACACAGAGAATCAACTGATCTATGATATACAGTGATTATCAGATCCCAACGCAAAGCAAGTATTTTCTATATTTAATTTCATGTTTTCTAATTTCAAAGACTTGCTCTCTGAGTAACTGTGTGTTTCTGTATGTCCCAGTTTTCCTCCTTTAATTCTCATTTATTTTCTCTCTTCACATTTTCTTTTATTTATCTGTTATCTGTATTCATGAGCACTTCATGAGCTTAGATCCCGACTCTGCAGAACATAGCAGACTGAAGCTCCCGCCCTTGCTGCACATACCTTGAGAACCTTGCACATGATCTCACATATGGAGAAGGTTTTCTCTGCTCGTGTCCAATCCCATGTGGTCACCTTTAAAAGAGAACAGTCCATTTGCTCTAGTAACGCACTTCTGCTCCCGTCTGCTTCATCTGGATAATGGCACATTCACATATGCGTTTCTTTGCTTTCTCCATCAGTGATGGAGTTCATAGAAAGTTCATTCTACGCCATATGGGTTTTTTCAAAATTTATGACCATTTGTATCCCTCTTTTCAGAAAGTATTTTAAGTTGTCAGTAACACTTTCTATTTGACAAATTAAAAAAAATGATTTGTGTACTCTCTGAACACATATATTAATGCAAGTAATATGTATGTATTTTCCTTTAGTAAGACGCAGGGAAGGACATAAAATATCAACCTGTGTCTCAATAATTTAAAAATAAGTTGTTGATATTTAAAAAGCATTCCAAAATTATTGAGATACTGGGAAGATACAACACCACTGTGAAGATAGTTCCCTTACTTATTTTGAAATATTTTATCCCTCCAACCACAAGAAATTACTCAGGGAAGAAATACAACAAGAAATATAAACATTTTTTTTCTGGTACTATGAATTTTGTGTAGGCATAAACATTAAAAATAACAATGATTCAGACTTGAAAACTCCTAGATCCTTTATATTACTAAACCTGTCTTTGAGCAGTATGACATCTTGTGTTTACAGCCAATAAATATTTGTTGAGTTTTACTTCTCTGTAAGGTACATGTTTTCAAAGCAAGGCTTTGAAGAAAGAGATGTGTAGACATGTTTAGTGTATGTAGATTATACAATATAACATATTGCAAACATAGTTCCAAAAGAACTACATCATATGGAAGGTCATATGTTGATTTGAAAGTGACAGCTTAATGCTGTAGCTGAACTTGAATATCTCAAAGACCCATGTATTGAACGGCTGTCAATGGTCTGTTATAGTTTTGGACATGGCAGAATATTTAGAAGTTGGGCTATAATTCAAGGAAGTTTAAGTCACCAAAGACAAGAACTTTCATGGAGCATTAACAACCCAAATCCTCTTATTCTTTCTATATCCTGGCTGCTATAAGGTAAGCAGCCTTCCCTGGCTTGTACTTCAACCATGTTGCACAACATTGCTCTAAGCCAGAGCTGTTTAGGGCTGCATGGTCAGGGTTTGAATCCTCTGACACAGACAAGATGACCTTTTTTTCTTTAGTGGTTGATCTACCTACGTAATTTTTACCATAGGGAAAACTAATGTATTTCCCGAAAATATTTCTCTTTCCCCAAGGTAATTTCATTTTATCTTTTTATATTTTTTAAGCTTACTCTTGTTTTGCTGTATTAAAGTAGTTGGTTTTCTGACAGTCTCACTATGCTCACCTGGCCAGCCTTAAACACCTACTCTTCTTTCCTCAATCTTCTAGCCTCTGAGATCAAGGGCTTGTACCATCACACCTGCCTTTCATTTAAAGTTTTAACATCATAGAATTTGGCTTTACAAACCTAGACTTAATATTGACTTACTATGTTGAGGTTTTATGTATTGTGGGTTACTAAAATTTAAACACAAATTGAACATTTAATGTAGACAATGAAACACTCCAAATACAGACTAAGGACACTCAAAGCATCTGCAAATATAGAATTAATGTTTAATATTTTTTTAAAAATCTGAATTCCCTCACATATATGTGGGGATATTTCTTAAATCTTTCCCCATCACTTCACAGAACTTTTAACAATATTATGACTTGTTCTGTTTAGAAGATTCTTAAGCAAAAACATCTAATTTCTTCAAGACTTTACATTTGACAAAACATTTTAAATAGATATTAACTATTTACTAATTGTGCTGTGCCTCATTTTCAAAATGTATTGTTAAATAAGCATCATTTATGCCATGTCGGTCTCCTATCAGCATCTCCAAGAGCTCAATCATTTGGTTGCAAGCACTTACTGGAGGTGAAGGGAACCTGTAAAGACAGGAGCCCCTCAGGGCGAGAAAGACAGGTGTGTACACACGGTCCTGGAGTGATTCCTGCTCCCGTGCTTCGCACCAACCCATGTAAACAATCTGCAAGGAAAGCAAGTGCTATTAACAGCCAGACCACACTGAAATTACCACAGTCTATTTGTGTGTCCTGTGCTGTTATAATTTCATGAAAAATTATCTAATTGATTGATGCCAAAGTTTACCATACCAGTCTTCCCATCAATGATGGGTATGAATTACTCAAAGGAGTTGCCTCATGCCAACTGCCTTGAGATACTTTCCCACTGATTCCCTTCTCTTTCTGCTCTTAAAGTTTTCACTTAGACTATTAACTGAACTCCCGATTTTCCAATGATTATTATAATGAATATGCTCATAATATTAAAAATGTAAATGAGCAGTAAAAACCTTTTTTGCTGTCTATTGACTATAATGGATGTCTATATCCTCTGGCATCACAAGATAGAATGGTTAGCATCCTTGTTCTAAACCCTAGCCTCGGGGGTATAAGATATGCTCTCATATTTTAAAAGTTTAAAAGAATTTTTGAGATTCATTTTTCTCATATTAATTTTCAGTGATTGATAGTAGCACTGGGTCTCGTTGACTGTGAGAGATCAGTTTCTATGGGAAAATCATGAGCTATGCATTGTTCCTCATGCTTTGCTGTTAAATATAGGACTCAATCTCACACAAATATATTAAATATTATAGGTTTATCCAAAGACACTTCATTGATTCTGTATTGGAAGATTCTTCTTACCTCACAGGTTTTATTTTTTTAATGACTTTCAGAGACTGATCCCTCCATTTTATTCTTTTCTATAAAACCTGCTATGACAAATAAAACATTTAACACACAACAAAGTGTAGCTGGTCTTAGTGACCAATACACTCCACCAGAGGTGTAGTAGAACTCTGAGAGAACTCTCAGCTCATCTGTCATGACCATCTAATTGCTAATACCAAACTACCAGAGGCTAAGGTCTTTCTCATGTGCACACCTGGGTTTATTTTTTTTTTAAATATTTATTTATTTACTTATTATGTATACAATATTCTGTCTGTATGCCTGAAGGCCAGATGAGGGCGCCAGACATCTTTACAGATGGTTGTGAGCCACCATGTGGTTGCTGGGAATTGAACTCAGGACCTTTGGAAGAGCAGGCAATGCTCTGAACCACTGAGCCATCTCTCCGGTTTAACACGGTTTGTATGAAGTATACTATGGTAAAGATTGAAGAGTAATAACAAAAGAACCTGCATAATAGTTTCCACTTACATACAGGTGACCCCTACTTCCCATTGCATTGTTTTTGCTGTCTAAAATGAATGCGATTGTACACTATCTTAGTTTATATAACAACTTCCTTCTGATTGTAAAGTCTCAGATTTAACAACATTAGGAATTGGGATTTGTATCGTCTCCCTCAGAGTATGTTTTAAAATGTATGTTTTGAAATTTACACTATAATTAAACTCTTCATTGACTTTTCAATTTTTAATCAAATGATAAGATATAAGCACAAAATGTTATTTGTATTTATTTTTATATAATCAACTATAATTAATAGAATGACATCAAACATTGAAAGCAATAAAGCTACTTTCATCATAAAAAACTTTTACATATATATGTTTATACTTACATACATGCATACAGATATGCATTGACACATTGCTGTTAATTATCATACTCTTTTTACTCTTTTGACTTTTGGAGGACACCACCACCCAACTCACAAATAAACACACAGAGGCTTGTTTCTAGCCAGCTTTTCTTACATTAAATTATCCCATCTATCTTTTGCCTCTGGGATTTTTCCTTTTTTTCTGTACATCTTACTTCTTTCTCCATGGTTTGCTGTGTAGCTAGATGTCTGACCCCTGATGTCATCTTCTCCTTGTTCTATCTTGCTCCTTCTTTTCCTCACAGATTTCCCTTTCTATTTATTCTCTTTGCCCTGCTATCCCCACCTTTCATTTCTCCTGACTCACTCTTTGTCATTCAGCTCTTTATTAGATCATCAAGTGTTTCAGACAAGCAAAAAACCATAGCTTCACAGAGTTAAGCAAATACAACATAAAAGATTGAAACACAGCTTTGTATCCTTAAAAAAATGTTTCACAGGGGCTGGAAAGATGGCTCAGTGGTTAAGAGCATTGCCTGCTCTTCCAAAGGTCCTGAGTTCAATTACCAGCAACCACATGGTGGCTCACAACCATCTGAAATGTGATCTGTATGCCCTCTTCTGGCCTGCAGGCAGACACACAGACAGAATATTGTACACATAATAAATAAATAATTAAAAAAAATGTTTCACAGCATAAACAAATGTACCACAATTTAAAATAACATTCTACAACAACACATACATGAATATAAACAAAATTAAATAATATTTTTCCTACTTAGTCTTTGCCAATTTGAAGCAAACTTTAATCATTTAGGTAGAAGGATCATCAATTGTGAAAATTCTCCAGCATATTAGCCAGAGATCCAGTATATAGAGCATCCTAATTAACAATGGATGTAGAACGTTCCATCCCACAATGGATGGTGCTACTACTCTGAAGATGTTCCTGGATGATATAAGAAAAAAGACTGAAGAAGTCAGGAAGAGCTAACCAGTGTTGTAACTGAGGGATTGCTAGACACAAGTGTGGATGTGACTATCATTACCCCAGAATCTTGGCATCCAGACTGGCCTCTTCAAGAGGCAGATATTCAATTCCAAGGAACCCTATCTCAAGTAAAACAAAACATGAGGTGGGTTGAATGCATAGGGCCTGAAGGACAGAAAGGAAGGCTGAGACCATATGTAACTAATAATGTAGTGAATTTATGGTACTGTGACCTATTGCAACAATGGAATGCCCGGGTTAACCTTCCTGCAGTCCCCAAAACCTCATATTTCTGGGAAGGATATTATAGATATTATAAACAAACATCACCAGCCATTCAGGCTGTACAAGAACACAAAGCAACTAACAAACCTTCAGAGGTACTAACAGCCTTGCCTTTAAAATGGTCAACTGAGAAACCCACAAGGGGTAAACAATGGCCTTTAACAGAAGACAAACTGTAGGCTTTAGAACAGCTGGTAGAGGAGAAATTAGATGCTCACCATATTGAAGAATCAACCAGCCCTTGGAGTTCTCTTGTATTTTTTGTTAAAAAAAATAAGGAAAATGAAGAATGGTGACAGATCTAAGAGTTATCAACAAGTTTATCCAACCTATGGGCCCTCTACAGTCTTGAATTCCTCTGCCTTCACTATTACCAAAAGGATGGCCTCTTATAGTTATTGATTTAAAGGATTGTTTCTTTACTATACCTTTACAAGACAAAGATAGAGAAAAATTTATTTCACAGTGCCTACTTATAATAATTCTCAACCTACTAGGAGATATTAGTGGACCATCCTCCTATAGGTAATGCTCAATAGTTCCACCATGTGCCAATACTTTATAAATCAGCCATTGAAAATAATACACAAGCAATTTTCAAAGTCTATAATTCACCATTACATTGATGACAAATGCAGATACTTGAGAAAGAATGTTTGAAGAAGTAAAAAAAGTTTTGCCTAAATAGGAATTACAAATTGCTCCTGAAAAAATACAAAGAAGAAATCTATCAATTACCTAGGTTACAAAATAGGTTTACAGAAAATTAGAACACAAAAGGCAAAATTAGGAGAGAACAGTTGTGGACTCTTAATGGCTTTCAAAGATTGTTAGGAGACATTTTCAGTCTATGACCAGCTATTGGTATAATACTTGATCTAATAATTCATTTAAACAAAACCTTAGATGGTGTTAAAGACTTGAATAGTACCAGATAATTAACAGCTGAAGCAGAAAAGGAATTGACAATTGTTGAGGAGAAATTATAGGAGGCACATGTGGATAAGTTGAATCCAAATCTTAGTTTTATTTTAGTCATATTGCCTTCCAGAATTTCTTCTACCAGAAGATATTATCTTAAAATGGGTCTTTTTACCACACAAATGAAGAAAAAAATTAAAATCTTATGTGGAAAAGTCCCTGAATTAATTATAAAAGGAAAGTTGAGACTTTGTCAACTAGCAGGTAAAGACGCAGCAGAAATTATAGTCCCTTTTACTGCTGATTAAATTAAAAAATTATGGGAAGACAATGAACCTTGGCAAAGAACTTGTGCTAATTTTTTGGAAGAAATTAATAGCAATTGTCCCAAAAGTGATAGAATTAACCTTATAAAGAGAACTATTTGGATTCTTCCCTGAATTGTACATGATGTACCAGTAACTGGAGCCCATACATTTTATACAGACACAAATAAATCAGAAAAAGCAGGTTACAAAACACAAGATTTATGTAAGGGGGAACAAAGCCCTTATAATTCTGCCCAAAAGGCAGAATGCTATTCTCATGGCACTAAGGAATTTTAAAGAACCTCTCAATATAATTACTGATTCACAATATGCAGAAAAAGTTGTTTTACATACTGAAACTGCTGAATTCATACCAGATGATATACAATTGACTTCATTATTCATACAGGTTCAAGATATAATGAGGAATAAGCTTTGTCCCATATACATAACACACAATCAATCCCATATAGGTCTGCCAGGTCCTCTAGCATACGGAAATACAGAAATTGATTAAAAGCATGCTGAAGACCTCAGAATTTCATAAGAAACACCATGTCGATAGAAAAGTTTAAAGAAAGAGTTTTCTATTACATGGCAACAAACTAAGAAGATTTTAAAGAGATGTCCTACTTGCTCTTTCTATAACCAAACACCAAACCCAAAGGGTATTCAAGGGAATAAAATCTGACAGATGGATGTGTTCCACTTTACAGGATTTGGAAAATTAAAATATGTACACCACACCATTGACATTTATTCAGGTTTTCAGTGGGCAATTGCCTAGAACTCAGAAAAGGCTTATTCAGTAATTCTGCATTTTTTAGAAGTTGTGGCCATCATGGGTATACCTGCACAAATAAAAACAGACAATGGTCCAGCATATGTGTCTATGAAAATGAAACAAGTTTTTTGCTTATTATAATATAAAGCATATTACAG